AGGCCGTCGCGCCCCAGCTCAAGGTACTCCCCTCTCGGCCTCTCTCCCAGTGAGGATCCGAGAGGCGAACCAGTAGCCCCACCGGTAGCCAACCCGCCCCGCGGGAGCCCCCACTTCCCACCCGCGCGGGATGCTCGCACGCCCCGGGGGATCCTAAACTGGAAGTTAAAGCTGTAACTCCGAGCACTTACCCTCGGACGGTTTCCTTCCAGATGCAGAGGTGCACTAGTTTCCTGTTTCTGTCTTTAATCCTTTGTGCCACCCTGTCAGAAACACTCGGACTGGTTTTCTCAGTAAGTACGAATTCCACTGTTGCGGATCTTATCTAAGGGACAGCATCCATGTCTCATTGGGCAAGTAACAGTAAACCCTGTAGTGATACACACTCTGTTTAGACAGTGGGGTTGGACAAAATGCAGCACTCAAAAAAATTCTGGGTACCAAGCAGGTTTTTAGTGAAGAATTTTTGGCTTTTGCATGCTCTCTCCCTTGTAACAAATTCTAAGGGGGGGAAAGGGGGTCTTAGTTTATAGACCAAAATTGAATGGGTGCCCCATCTGACTCAGAAAAGGTGGTGTACAGAAGAACCTCTTAATAAAGAGGCTGTCACATAAACACAATCAATCAAAGGAAGCACTGTTGCTATTAAGGTGATTGTCAGGAGGATACTTGGGAGTATTAAGTAAAAATTTCTACCTCCCAAGCATGACTTACTTTCACTTAGATGGTGTGAAATCTTCACACCACATGGATATCATTAGCAAAGCTATTGATTCAGATGGGGAGTAAGCAAGAGTTCCCCATAAATATTTGCTTCAGTATTATTGGCTTTTTACATTATGGCTATTTTTTACAATATTTCTTAGTTTCAAGTCTTCAGAAGACACCTTCTGCTAAGAGGATGTCCACTGGGGTGCTGTTTGTGCTGTCTTCAGAAAGCACTGTGTAGTCCATGCAATAACGTACTTATATTTTTTTTCTTTAAGGCAAAAGAAAAAAGAGGTTGGACTTTGAATAGTGCTGGTTACCTACTTGGGCCACGTAAGTCAAGCACTCTTGGTTTGCATTATTTCATAATGCAGAAGTAGTTTTTTCTTGTACACCAATTTGCTGTAGTGCGCTGCTCACTCTTCTGATAAATACGGTGATCTTGTCTAAACTAAATTAGTTTCTTCAGTCTTGCAGGGACAATACTTGGTTAGATATTTGTTACATGCCTAATACAGAATCGACTTGTCTTGGACAATAACTGTTCTTTTCTAAAGCAGAGTTGTGCTTCAAGGCTTTATATCCAGAAGCATATCTGGTCAGTCTTTGTACTTCAGAGCTGTAATTTTCATATGACAAATACTTTCCCATTCCCCAAAGTGTTACAAAATCTTAGAGCATCTTAGATATCACATTTTGTCATTCTTCCCTTAACATTTGAGCACTTTGTCATGTATTTCAGATTTCATCTTTAAATCTTTGAAAATGGCTTTGCTACCTGTCTTTAATATTATACCACTACTGTGTTTTTTTTTTTTTTTCAATTAAAGCAAAACAAGTTAAAACAATAACATGAGTAGTCATGACTGTAAATATCAACAGTTCACTATGTGAAAAATACATAAAGAAAACATTGGCTTACAAAGGTGGAGAATCACAAATGTAGATTATAAGAAAAGTGAAAGGCACCACTAAACTGTCTCAAATATCTGTCCTTTCACCATTACTTCTGGTTAATTTAATAATGTCACCTATGTTGCTATACTTTCACTCTCAGTAATACATGACAGATACTATGACTCTCATAATTCTTTTTAACTAACCTTAAGGACACCTAAAAAAAAAAAATGGATTAATGCTTCTTAAATGTATAAACTGTCTCTCTAACTGTCTGGAAGCATATTTGCCCCGAAGCAGATCTACCAAATTGGCAAATATACTGTGGGGAAATATGCTTGTCAAAGTGCCATTTATCTAAGACTGGATAATAGGAGTCATCCTTTGTTGCAGGTCGTATTGAGCAGCTTTTACTGATAAAGGAAATGCCCATTGCAAGGGGGAGCGAAGAGGCACCAGGGGCATGTAAGATAGTTTACATGAATAACCTTCAAAAACTATCTGCAGTTTTCTTCTAAGCAAAGTCATCTGCAACGTTCTAAAAATAGAGGAATGAGTAGGGTTCCCCCAACTTCCCAAATTACACATGAATGTACAAACTTACATATTCTTTACAACTTCCTCTGAATTTATTAAGAGCTTCAGCAAGTACGTAGTACAGGACTGGGTCTGTAAATGTTATAAAACATAAGTATAAAATAAGAAGAAAAGTTATTTTATTGACATGTTAATTGCTTTGCCATTTTGTACATCAAAAGTGTCCATCATGATTTTTTTTTTTTAAATCCATGGAAAAAAAACAATGTAGCAAAGGTTATTGTTAAGTCAATTAACTCCTCTGATTTTTAATTTATTTATCAGATGCAGTAGATAACCACAGATCTTTTAACGACAAACATGGTTTCACTGGTAAACGTGAAATACAGCCTGATGAGGATATTAAAGCAGGTAATGAAATTCTGAAAACCAGGATTGTTGATTTGTTTTTTGTTGACTACCGACCTAGACACAAAACTGTTCCTGAACTCTAACAAAAGTCCTAATAAACAAATGAAAGGAAGAAAAATTAAATCTGGTCATTCAATGTGCTCTCTGTATCTGGTTTTCGTTTAAGATACCTTGGTGCCTACAGAGAAGTACCATGATCGTGTTGCTTTTAAGGTGTAATAGATCATATTACTTTGAATAAACCTAGCTCTTTTTCTTTTGTATGTTTAAATAAGTATTTCAAATGTCACCCTAGACACTCAAGAGTTACAGGGGTTTTTTTTCAGTGGAGAACCTACTTCCACAAACGCTGGTGTAAAAATAATGTCTTGCTCAGTCAGAAACAAAGTGAAAGGAGAGCATTTGTAATCTAACTGTGCAGCATGTAATCTTCCATGGCAGCACGTTTGCCCTTTGTGGATATACTATCAGCTCCATTATAGGAAAAGGATCTGTAAGAGTTATGGATCTCTTTTGCTGCACCTCCACCTCCACGATTACAAATAAACCTGACTAAACTTGTCTGGATGGGAGCTGAAAATGGTATAACTGCCTCTGCCATGAGCCTCATTGTAGATGCTTTTTTTCTCATCAAAAGTTTTCTTTGAAGCTGACGTTTATCATAGAGTTCAAATCCAAAGGAGATCTGAAAAATGGTAAGGTAGTCGGAATTCTTATTGTAATTGAAAATGAAGGCTTTTTTTAAGTGAAATTCTGCTGATTATTTACAAAGTATCTTAAAATGGTAACATATATACATATCGCTGTGAAAATTCATGCAAAGGACTGGTCTCTCTCCTTGAAGGAATACTTCCAAGTTTGCAAGCTTTCCAGATAACCTAGAAGAGCTTCTAATGGTTACATAACACTAGGTCAAAACAAACCAAACCAACCATAATCAGGAAAGATTTACATTCCAAGAGCATAACTGTTTCTTTACTGGAGTCTGTGAGCAATTTGCTCTATAAAATTAAGTTCAATAGAGTATATAGAAATACACAGATACAATATACTTAATTTGCTACAGAAAAGAAAAAAATTATCCAATAAATATCACACTGGTAATAAAATCTGGGTCAATACTATACTAATATAATAAAGACTGATCATTACAAAAATCCATAACAGGCTAGGTGGGAATAAAAATTACAGAAAACTTAAAATAATACTTAAGTACTAACAACATCTGGTATTCAATTTAAAGACTGGAAGACATGACTTTTAGATGCAGTTTTCTTAAATGCTGTCTCTCTACATAACAGAAGTGTCTGTGTCCCTAACAACTCCCCATTAGGACTTTTATTTGAGTTCAGTCTGCCTTCTAATCTTTATGTCATTAGAGACTTGAATCTTCTCTTCATCATGGAAAATTTTCCCCCAACATTCACCTGCTGCAAACTCATTTTTTTCAGACTGTTTTCTGAGATAAAACACATCCCCTATGATAATACCAAGGCACAGTATTTTCTGTGATGCAATAATGGACTGTGAGCCAGACAAGGCTACTCATCTGCTCTGTATGTAGAAAACCAAAAATCTTAGGGAAATTATCTGCAATTTGTTCTCTAATACAGAACAATTCTCCATCCTGTTGATAAAAAGCAAGATTATTTTTTTTTTTTTAAGTAGATACAGAAAGTGTACTTCTCAACACCCCAAAGTGCAATAACAAGCTCTCAAGAGACCTGGTTAAATTGGGACATTTAAAAAGCATCAAAAGGCCTACTTCCACAAGATCAAAAAGGACTACATTGTATTAGATGTGTATGCAAAACCCTACCTGAGCTTTTAGTAAAGTCCCAGGCCTAGCTTATATAGTGATATATGACGCTTATATGATGTGTTGGGAACAAAGTCAAATTACATGAAGAACTTTTGACTATTTTGCAAAGCTGATGAATTTGTTTGCTAGATTAACCTTTCCTTTCAGTTTCAAGCTAGTGGACACAAAGGAGAGAGTTGACAAAAGAGGATAACTGTCATCAGCAACAGAACTCATAAGGCCTTAATGACCATCACCATTAAGGTGTCATATCATCTATGCAGCAATAGCATACAAAGCTGGGCAATTTTGGTCCTGAGAATTACAGTTACCTACCTTAAAGTGGCTTTGCTCTTCCATGAAATGAAGTTTTCCACTAATAATTTTAAGGAAGAAGACATTTCAGATAGCTTTTTATCATAGTATTCATAAACTTAGCCACAACGTTGCATCTTTATTTCATGTTAACATTAAGTGACAATCAACTTGTTTTATAGGAAATCTTGGGAGACCACTGGCTGATGAAAACATTGTGCGCACAATAATTGAATTTTTGACTTACCTGCATCTTAAAGGTTAGTGAATACTTTATCAGTCTTTCACACTTTCTGGTGTGGAACCTACTGGGAAGTTATGACTATACTTGATTGTACAAGTCTGCTACAGAGTTGAGTGTGCAAGACGTTGAACAGCATCTCTGGTGGTGTGGAAGAACTGCCAATTCCATTTTAGTGCACTTAAGAATAGGCCTGATTTAGAGAGTGAAGGTAGTTCTGCCAAACTGCAGGTCAATGAATATCCAAAATAGCAGGGTTCTAATACCATTTGATTACTTTGGGCACTGTGAAAATTAATAACAGCTACTACTAAAATGGTATGGACCCAGCTTTTAGAACAGCTGAAAAATTCGAGTCCTATTACATGGGAGGTAGTATGAAGCAATTCAGTAGCAAATTAAATAAGACCTTAGTTTAATGCCAAGAACAGTTGAAGTTCTGAAATGCTTGTTAGTTACAAAAGAAATACATCTGCTGTTCTGGGTGTATTCTACAATAAAGTCACATCATAGAATTGCAATATGAATGTTGGCAAACAGCTCAAAATGTTGCTAGTAAAAATTCAGTGGAGTCTTAAAATCGACAAGAATTCTAAACCTGAGCTTGTACCTGATTTTATAAAAATCGTAACTTTATTATAGCATTAGGTGAAGAGGAAAGCTGCTTCTGAGTTTTCATTAGTCTTGCTTTTATTTGTTAAAAAAAAAACCAAACCACAATTCTGAGCTTTTAAAAACATCTTCAGCTCTTTTTAAACAGTGTACAAAATGATCAAAAATGTAATGTGAAGAAAACAACAGGAAGGAAAAAGTTATTTTTACCGCAAATGTTTGAGTAATTCTGTCTTGGAAACCAGACAGTTCAATAAATCTGTAACTTTTATATTCTTACCTTTGTATAAAACAAATTATAAGCAATTCTGTGGCAAGTTTATGCAGTGAAATAGTAACAAAGAGCGGTGTGTTATGTTTGTATTTTCATTTCATTATTAAAAGACTTTTGAGAGATCTGTTCATTTCCTGTATGTCTAGGAGAAAAAATTCTAGACCTTTTCGGCATAATTTTCTAAATTACTTGTATCCCACCCAAAAAAAAATAATTCTCACTACTGAAAATATCAGTCCAGCGCTTATTGAATCAACTTTGCATTTGAAACAAAAGGGTAGTACTAAGGGCCTCAGATAATTCCAATATTTATTTAAAGCAGATTATTAGCATTTATATTTACCGTGGACCAAATAGCAGCTTGCTTGTTGTGCCGCTCTGAAGGAGCCCAGAACACTCCTCTGCCTTGCTGTGTGAGCCTAGGAAATAAAACCAATAACTGGACACAACAGCAAGGGTGTGAAGCACGTTGACTTCAAGCATGTGCTCTCTGAGTAGGCTAAGAGGTGCTAAGTTGGGCAAGAAAATAAAATGCATCACATAGAAATACAAATTACTCCTTTTCTGGAATGAATGAGCAAAAAAGGGCTATATTTTAACTCAAAGTAACTATCCCTTGTTTAGGGTAGTGATGATAAACAATTTTTATTCAGAAAAGATGGTTTTATTATTGTCTGCCCTTGTAAGAAAAGGAATATCCAGATGATATAAAGTGGGTAGTCCCTGAGATTGTTCTTGTTCCCATGTTTCAAAAGCCACAGAATGTTATCATAGTATCCCTTAACCATATTGATTGGCAAGACCTAGTACAAACTTTTGCACAAAATCAGAACTGTAGATTTAGGAGATGAAAAACATACTTTTTTATGGTAGAGACACTTTTTTGCTTGAATGAAAATTTACTACATTATATATGTTGGATTAGATACACTCATTTGAGAGGAGGGGAAAACTTCCACTCATGAAATTCAGATTCAAGGAATACTTACTCAGATTAGATGTAATTTTTATCTGCAAGATAAAACAAATATTTTAACTGCTAAAAAGTATCTTGGTGGTATCTAGAAGTGGCCTTCAGTTCTTTCTCTTGAAAATTGTCCCCTCCAGCTTTAAAGGCTTCCTCTATAAATCAAGCTGTAGGGTGGTAGCCATAACTGAATAATGTTAAAACTTTTGAGATGCTGGGATTCAGCAGTATCAGCTGACAGAATAAAACTGACATAATTGTCATTCTGTCACTGCTGTTTCTGAAAAGTTGAAATTTTAGCATGAAGATATTAACATTCAAGAGAAAAAAAAAAACCATTGGTTTATAAATTAAAATATTAAAGGCTCAAGGATTTGCCTCTTATAGTTGAGAAAAGAAAAATATAAAAATGTATGTTATCGAAATTGGACTTCATAATTTAATTGCTAAATTAATAAGCATGCTTACATATGTGTTAATTCTTTCTTTTTTTTTCTTTTTTTCAGAGGTGGGAGTACTTGACAAAATACCTTCACCAGAAGAAACAAACCAGTCTTGAAGAATGCATTTTTACTTTATTGTTGTGTAGATTTAGATTGAACTCTAAACAAAAGATCCAAATGACCTGAAGATGAGTATTGTTTGCATTAATCTGATAAATGGATTCTGCCCTCTGTTTGTATTATTTTGTTTGCTTTTTTTTTTCCTTCTCCTGTGATGTCACAGTGTAAAATTTTGCCTTTGTAAAATTTTCCTGTAGGCGAATGATAAAATAAAAATAAAGAGCAACTACATTGTTTCATTTAAAAATCAAACAGATACCAGCACACAATATCCAAAGCCCAGGTTACATAGGTAAGATTATCCTGCCTGTATACTCTTCAAAATTACAGTAAAATAAAACATAAATACTACATATTGGGTACTTAAGCTAAGTAAGAAAAAGAACAGTGAATTCAAACTGCTGCCATACAGAGTCAAATTTTTAAGTCACAGATCTGCCTGTACTTTTACACTTTATGGAAACCTTACTTCCTGATTATATTTTCATAGACATGAAATAAATTAACATTCATTTTAAATTCCATATTATTCATCTATAATACAGCAGCCTGTTGACAAAAGCAAACCTTCACCCACTACAAATTTAACTATTCTGTATGGATGGTAGAAATACACAAATCCTAGCTGTAGGATTCCTATTCCTAGGTTGTCAAGTTTACTGGAACTGTATTCTTTAATGAAGAAACTCTCCTGTCCACTCTAAAATTAAAAAAAAAAAAAAAAAAAAAAGAACAAGCAAACATTTTATTTTATGATGCACTTTAGTTTGAGGCCAGAAAAGCACTTGAATACATGCTAATCCATGTGAAAGAGCTTTGATGTTCTGAGACCAGAACGCTAGGGCAGGACACAGCAGACGAGGAAAGGTCTGAGAGAACACAGAACCTCAGGAAGGTTTTTCACACTCAGATGACTTCCACTCTGCACAGTGCAACGAGATCTCATCCTTTCAAAACGCCGCCGTGCACGAGAGTGCACAGACGGGCAGGAATTTTGCAGAACATTATCACATAATCTGGTTTTCACTTCTAGCACCGCAGAGTATATATTCTAGATGCCAGACCACTAGTGTCTACCTTGAACCCACAGGGGTAGCTAACTCACGCTGTCAATCAGCCTGTGCTCTTCCTCTGATAAATACTGAGCCTCTCATCTACTGTCTGTTGTGCACTTTCCACAGTGTACAAACAACACTTTTTATCAGATCCAACGAGCTTGTGAGCAATCCCTGCAGACAATGGTTTACTGTTCTATCGTTTTAGAAAGAGTAATAAAAATGTATACTCTCTTAGTATACATGCTGCTACTTCAATATTATTTGGTAAATTCCAAAAATGCATGAGGGAAGAAAAAAAAGAAAGGAACAGAGTGAAATTTAATGTCTATACATTAGTATAGTTCAGTAATTCCAAACTCTCCACTGCAGAACAAAAAAAGCTATAAAGAAAAGTGGCTAATATCTTTCAGTAGTAACGTCTACATTTCCCATCATAAACTTGAAGCAGAGCTCACTAAAATCAAGATGCTTTCTTTTCATTGACTTCTATGGTCCTTAGTTCATTGACTGCTAAGAACCAGTGTTCACTTGCAGAATTCAATAACAAGCCATCTTTCTATGGCAAAGCATCTGAATTTATGATAAAATCAAAAGACACTAATCTTAGCATTGAATTCCTTTTCTTTTTAAATAGGATAAGAAATTGAGTTTAAAATAAAAAAAAAGTCATTACTTAAATCAAATTAGCATACTGTCAGCTCATTAAAGTTGGAATGGTCTTGTTAGAAATGTTTATCTGAAATTCTGAAATTTGAGATTATTTGAAATAGTGAAAAACTCATAGGATCAAGTTCTTTGGAATATTTACATCACTGTCTAAACAGAGGGGCCCACAGGTTCTTAGTCATTGTGCTGCACTGCTATATTCATGCACTATAAAACCCACAAAGGATTATTTATAATCTAATAAACAAAAGCAGTTCATGTACCGTCACTTAATAATTACTGCATTCAAACACATATTGGTAATATTCCAAAATACAGAGAGAGGTAAAATTTTCATACTGTTTCTTTACCCTTTACGGCTCTTATCTTTGGAAAAACAAAGGAGAAAAAAAAATAAAAGGGCATTCCTCTGGATCAATTTCTGTTACATTATTGTTTTAATAACATTCTTATTTTATTTAAGAGACGATTTACATAGTTACACCTCAGACTTAAATTCTGCAAATATTTGGAAGGACATCTGCATAATCAGCCTCTCAGACAAACATTCTGATAAAAGATGGCCTTTAAACTACATTTTAAAAGCAATTCGTTTCAACCGGGCAAAGATACAATAAACAGATGCACCAAGTTTCAGTAGAAAATTTAAAAAAAAAAATCATTTCATGTATTTGTTCATTTGCTTATGTTGCAGCCCATTTTTGTGTAGCATCAGATCAAACACATACCGGCACTAAAGACAAAAGCCAAGTCTAAAAAATGACTAAAACTTTCTCGTAATGTTCGCCAGTGCTGTGATGTTACCCAGCATGCAAGCTTGACTCTGACACTGAACAGAAGGCTTGCATGATGCTGGATGACTGGACAATAAAATGGCAGATGAAATTAAATGCTGATGCAAGAAAAGTAATATACACAGAGAAAAACAGCTCTAATTTTGCATACACATAATGATGGTCTAAATTATCTCCGGAAAAATAGCTTAGGCTCATTGTACACAGTCCTCTGAAAAATGTCATTTTAGACCTCAGCAGCTGTTAGAAAGGCAAATGGAATGTTAGGAATTATAATGAAAGTAGCCAAAACCAAACCAGACATCATTATGCCACCATTCCCAACTTTGACATCAGCTGTAGTTCTGATCAGCTTATAGAAAATAAAAAAAAACAAACAAGAAAAAAAGCACTGTAGAACGAGAAAGCTAGAGAACAGTGACCAATATCTTCATCGACACAGAACAACTTTTATACACAGAGAGACTATATAGACTGTGAGTTTAGTTAGAGACTACTAAGGAGAGAGAGATGACAGTCTTAAATATCATGATAGAAGTACTGAATGAATTCAATTCTTCAAACCTAGGATTTAAAGATTACTGGATAAAATGATCAAGTAATATTTTTAAGCCCCACCCCAGGAAAAAAGTCTTTTCCATACATCTCATGATGCAGTTGTGGTCCTGACAGGCACAGGATATTGTGAAGACCATAGGTTCTGAAAGGAAACAGTTCTATTCATATGGAAGAAAAGTCTTTCAAGGGCCAAATGAAATGACTGCCTCAAAAAGTCTAATTAAATTGTTTCTTAGAACACATTACAGATGTGTGCATAGAGCTATAAAACAACCTGTAGGCTCTGATACATAAATCAGAGATTAATTAAACAGGGTTTCTTCATCTGCACAGCATCTGATGCCAGTTTACAAAAGAAACTTGGAAATTACACATTTTTGGCTAAAAAATCTGCAGAAATTAATACTATCTATAACCACAAAGGTATAATTTTTTTACAGTGCGTCACTTGTCAGGTAGTCTCACTAAGACTTGTTTAAATGCAGACCAGTTCAGCGTAAAAGAGGGCAGAGCTGACAGAAAACCTGCCTATTCGCCTTCGGAAGTCATTAGGCAGCTGACTGGGTATGCAGGTTTCCCACCTGCCTACTTGTGTAAAGGTCAGACTGCAAAATTAGCATAGAAAAATTAGCTAAGATTCAGAATAGTGAGGATGTTTTAGAGGGTTTGATACTGGGTTTGCCATAATTCTGCTTTCAAGCTTAATGCTACAGTTGAAACCAAACTACAGCTCTTTTTGCCTGAGTAGCACAGTTACTTCTTAAGATAACAGAGAAGCTTGGTGTGAGTTAGTTTACAACAGCTTCTAACGATTTCTTAGCTATTCTTTTGCCTTTCAAACAATATGAGGAGATTGGAGGTAGTATGTGAAACACCACATTAACAGCTCACAGAAAAAGTGATGAAAGTATTTTTACATGATTTCAGAATATGTGACACAAAAAAGCAACAAGTTAGAAATGGGCACCAGAAAGTACAATAATTCTTCAGCTCATAAATTTGTTGGACAGGAAAGAAATGCAAGAGGTCACCTAAATTATTCTCTAGTTCACAGCTGTGAGAAAACAGCTGGATGGAAAGTGGATTTTATTAAAAGCAAATGCACTTATACTTTTGCCTAATAAGGGGGTGCAGTAAGCGGATGGAAAGTACGTACGGTCGGAGGTTGTGTATCGAACCCCAACCCAGGGTCTCGCCGTCAGGAAAAAGGGAGCTTACAAGCCTTCATCCTTACAACCCTCTACGCTATTTTGCTTGTGCAAATAATGCTTGAGCAATTGTATATGCTGAAACAGGATGTTAAGTAAAGAATAAGAGACCCCATCAGGACCTCCTGCCGCCTGTTGCAGTTGGAAGAAGCTAATTCAACAACTTAGAAGCATCTGCGCCTGCGTTGCCAGAAGAAGTGAAAAGGGAAACTCTGAGGAAGATCTTGAGCCTTCACCACGACGACCCCCAGGGACCTCACTGAGCATGCATCATCACCATACATCAGCCACCAGAGGGAAGACTAAAAAAAGCTCCAAGAATGGAATATTCCAAGAATATTCCGGCCTGGCCTTGCTGCTACAGGCACCCGGCTGCCCCGGCCATCTGCCTGGCTGGAGCTCCCACCCGGGCCCGGGGAAAACCAACCCTACCCTAGCCCAGCCAGGACAGCACCTCCACCATCCCTCCAAGAGAGGAGTCAGCGAGTGCTTCACTCTCCTGTACTATTAGAAAGCATTTCCTGATATAGAACTGAAATTTTCTTTCTGCATTTTCTACCAAGCACTTATTTTATTGACCATGGACGTGGTAATAGTTTTTCCCTTTACCATTACTAAACCAGTAGGTTTCAAGGTGGTTACTATCCCTTCTCTCACAATGTTTTTGGATTCTTTTCCTAAAGGTAAACAAACACAACTTGCCAAACTTTGAGGGAAATACGGTAAGAGTTTCTCGAAGAAAAGGTTCACGTATTTGTAGCATTAAGGTTTATAGATTTTTTTTTTCATCTAAAAAAGTGGTTTAGATTTTTAACCAATATACATAATATACTAACATTTTTTGTTCTTATTTTTTCCTCTGGTTCTCTACTTTTTGTGCATCCAGGTGAAAGCAAAGGATAACCATAAAGCAGAGAAGGCTGCCAATTTAGAAGACAGCAATA